GTTTAAATTCCCATAGAAACGAGAGCCGGTCCTGTAACTTACCTTCAGTCACCACTTGCTTATCTCCAAAGATGCAATCACTACTAGCATGACCGGCACAGAAAAACTCACCACTTTCGGCCGATTATGGGCAGGTCGAAAAAAAATGGGCAGTCATATTGCAACCGTCTATTTTGTCGCCATAGCAAGTAGGTGAACCAACTCATAAAATATCGAGATTGGCATTTGAGTTAGTGGAACGCATACATTTGGTGTGGTTAAATGTGTGTTTAGAATTGATTGGAATCCAAAAAAGCCCTTTTCTAAAGAAGAGGTCGTGTTAGGTCAGTTTCATTAAGGGAAACAGGCCAAGATTAGGCAAATTTTGACCGCACCGGATATCCACCTAATTTCCTATTCTATTAATTATTCTCTATTAAACTATCTTATTCGTACGTGATGTGCCATAAAGCAAATTTCATATAACTAAAAAAATATCAAAGGAACCCACTCTGGTAAAAGTCCAACGCCTCCGACCACTGAGCCACGGGCTCGGCGCCTTGTCTGTTTCGATGGGAGAATTTGCAATGGTAGGCCCAATGAGCCAACATTTAGGCAACGACGAGGAAGTGTCTGCTTACCGAAACGAATGCGCTCGTGACTCCCTTAATCCAAATAAGACGATTGTTGAAAGAGCACCCTTTATACAATACGAAATCTGTTAAATCCAGAGTTTCGTGCGAATCGTGTGAACCTCATCTGTACATCACGTTTGGTCATTGCCAAGATTGATGCTCTATCACAGGGAGGCAAATGTCGTACTTTCCACACGCCAGTCATGTTGACATGTGTTCTCCTCACCGCGAACGTTACTACATCACTTGAATACCTCCAGCTTTGCAGAGTTGTGGCAAATTTCATTACTGAGTTGAAAGTCCTCAACATGAAGTCTGTGCAGTGCTGAAACTAGTCTGTATCGGAGTATATTCAGACACCACACACAGGAATTAAAACATCATATTTCTTTCCTGTCTTAGCGGAGACACTACTCTCAGTAGCTTTTTCGATGATACTTCAAGGTGACTGCATTTGGCAATCAACGGAGTATGACTGCGCGGCCAGCCACAACCGCCAACTTTGCGCATTTAGGTTAAACTTAAAATTCAATAGAGAAGAGTTGCGAATTTTTGCCGCTCATAAACATGCGCTTCCAATTTGCAGTAATATCATCGTGTGATATTCCCTGTGTAGTACATTCGATAAAAATAGCTTTTCTCAAATGCAGAGTTGAAAAGAATTGAGAGAACGCTCCATTTGAGCTACCTGCAAGATGTCGTTGAGAAGTTTGCTCATACTGTCATACCTCATAACCACTGCCCTAAACAAATAACGTCAAGTAAGGCCGCCTGGAATCATTATAGCCTTGACACCACGATTTCCGACGACGTAAATGGTGTAATTCATCCTTTCATCGTCTGAAGTACACATCACTCGTAATACTGTAAACAAGACGGCCTGTTGATTGGTTTAACTCAAAGTCTCAACATTGTTCGTGCATATGGTTCGCATTTATTCCGCGTTTTTGTAGCTTGCAGACCCGTATTCCTCCATTGGGCACGCCTATGCATTGTAGGCGAGACATCACACGACCAGTTGTTCGCAAGTGTAGAGGAGGGCTCTCAGTTGTGAGAACATTGTGTCTGTCCTCTGAAATCGCCTTAAATTATTTTCTGCCGTAATCGTACCCCAGGCTTCTACTGACATTTAGCGTCACTGTTATGCGCGTAGTTGTAGAAAGCCGTCTAACATTTCACAGCTCATTTCATCTATGGAATCCCGACTGATCAGCCAATCACAGCTGCCAGAAGTGGCCAATCAGATTTGTAGCTGACGCGGACGTGTCCGGTCTACCGGACTCCTTCAAAATTATTCCATTCACATCAGAGCTCACTACCTGCCGATTTGCGGTCGCACAAATCAGAGATGCTGCTCAGCGTAGGATAACTCCTTGATAATTCACTCGCTAAAAATAACCCGCACCCACCAGTGTCCGGTTTAACTTGGAAGCTTCTAAACGCAACTGCCGAGACAGTAATTTACATGTTATCCTGTCAGGCAGATGGCCTTCGCACTCTTCATTAGACCGCCCACATATAAGGCCGTTTAAATCAAGTTTGTTGGACGTCGGATGTCGTCTCGTCGGTGTTTGCGGTGGGTGAGGTCGTTTTATTGGTGCCGTTGGTGGTGGTGGTGGTGCTGATCGCCACGCATGGGGAAGGGCAGGTGGTGCTGGCGGATGATGGCAGCGGAGCGGATACAGTGTGGACCTTCAGTAGGTCATCTGCATATGGGCCCATTTTAATCGACTTTGAGGAGGTTGCGCCATTCAAAGTTAGCAAGTGTACAACAAGAGGAAGCTGGATTTGTGTAGCAGTGTCCACTAAATTACCACCCGACCTATGAAACCTTGGCAAATCCCGTTGTTATAATAGTACTTGATGTATTTCAGTAACTTTTAAAATTGAATTTATTATAGCCAATAGAATCGAAGAGACGAGTCACACAAAGCAGTCTTGAAGAAGAAGACACGATCTCCGAGATTTCTTATTGTCTCCAATCAATCGCCTACGCTTACTGACATGCACATATGCAACTTGTGTCACCAGGTATATTATTTATTTCCCTGCACTCGAAACGACCACTGTACAACTGCTCGTACCACTAACATTCGAGACAGTTTGTTTGTCTGTACAGAGCTAACACCTTTCCGATTATTTGCAACCTTTATGATATCTTTTCCAGTTTTTGACATTTTGCAGTTGCTTGTAAACAAATAGGGAGTTCAAAGGTGAAGACCTATATTTTACTCAATAAGACTAAACTGAACTGAACCAAAGAGGGTGTCGGTTCGGGATTATGCTCGAAATTTTGCGCAGACTGACTCCGAGAATTGGTACTTCTCATTCACAAATCTGGCGCGGCTTCAGAA